ACTGAAAATAATTTCTTCTAGTGACAAAGTGTGATAACATATGTACAGTAGAAACTATGTCAAAGGTAGGCTTTTGAATTTCATTTATAACAAAAGGAAAACTTAGTTTTTTAAAGTTAAAGTTCCTAAGTAAAGTTCCTAAATAGGATTCTGTACATCCTATTTGCAAAGTTTGGAGTTTGTCATTTTTTAAAAAAAAGATTTATTTATTTATTCATACAGAATTGGGGTACAGGCTAGAGATGGAGAGGGTGAGAGGATTCACCGGAGACAGAGCAGGGAGCAGAACTACTGAGGGGAGGAGCGAGCGGGTCAGGAGAGGTCTGCCATGCCATGTGGGATCTCCTCCTGGGCAGGCAGGAATCGAACTCATGCGGAAGTGACTTTAGCTTCTTAGTGCTGTGCTTTAACCCACTGCGCCACCAGGGAGGGCCCAGGAGTTTGTCATTTTAGTGCAAGAATCATACACTCCACAGGTCTTTTGCCTTAGAGAATAACTCTCTATAATTAACTGGGCCACTATGATTCTAGTCATACAAAGGAATTATGAAGATGTTTAACAAGCAATAAAAATCAGGAATATATTATTCTCAAAACCCTCTGTGTCTTGATAATCTTTGCTCTCCAGATCCCAGGCTAATCAGTGTATCATCTAATATTGCCAAAATTAGTCCCATTTTTATACTACTTGCAACCAAGGTTGTATGTGACTACATCATCCCTCACTATTAGCTAGCACGCCAATGAGAAAGTATTTCTTTTGCTTGCTGGAACCCACCAATAAATGCATTTCTAGAGACCATTTAGATAGGCAATGTACTAATTCTGCAAAACAAAACTGAGCCAAATCGTACATTTGAAATCCAGTGTCTGGGGCTCTTGAGTGCTTACATTCCTTGTTGACAATCATGTGTCTGTGAGTGTTTTTCTTCACTGACCTCTGAAGGAGACCCTCATAATTCATCATGGAGTCCAGATTTGGATTCTTTCCTGACCTACTATATTGAATATTTCTTCAGAACAAGTATTTATCTAGTGAAAAATAATGTCAAAGAAAACTACCTCTTGAGGGCGGAGAGAGTCTCATCCATCTTTTTATCACCAGCATAACCTGCTAAGTCTGGAACAGAGAAGAGCTCAAAAACTGTGTCAAATCCAGGTGGAAAGAAATATGCGTGACTTTTGTTGATGGCTGAAACAAACAGCTCCCAGATTCCACCTTTTTTGAGTCCCCTCTTTGTAGATACTCCCCAATTTCTCATCAAATAAACTGTTCTTAGAAAATGTAAGTGGAGGAAGGACTCCATTAAATACATATAGTATTAAATATCTATTCATTTGATTCTTTTATTTTCTAAACCTCTAACTCTCTTCCTTGAATAAAACTTTATTTACTTGTTGCAAGTACACATCTCTTCTTTTCCCTTTTAAGTTTTAATTTGACAGGTTGGCTTTCATGTGTTAATACAACATGTGGTAGTTTTCTTCCATCAAACAAACAATGCCCTAAGTAACTGTGACATTTTAAGATACTCTGCTTCTAAGAGAAAAGTTACAACGTTGAATAAAACAGAAAACTGCTCTTAAGAAATTCAATTTATTAAAGGAGACAAGTCAAAAATAATTAAAATTTAACAGCTTAATATCTAGAATTATAAAAGTACATAAGATTAGGGAAATGAAATAATTATTTTATTCATTTTTATGTTTATATTCACCTTTATCATTATTTTTGAATGATTATTTTCTTAGTAATATGTAATACTGACCAACTAATATGAACCACACATTTTTCTAAATTGCTTACATGCATAAAAATAAAATATTTAATCCTCTCAACAATCTTTCATATAGGTAATAAGATTGTTCCTATTATTAGAAACTGAGGCAGAGGGAAGTTAAATAGCTTCTCAATGTCAAAAAAAAGTGAATAAACAGATTTAGAATATAGTAAGCAGGTTCTAGAATCTCAGTTCCTAACTCAGGCTATCAATGAGATCAAAACATAAATGTTCTATATCTCAATCTTCTAGGTTACTTATTGTAATCATTTGAAAGAAATGAGCAATCTTGGAAACTCAAGTACTCCCTAGAACACTACCCTTTGTCTTCCTAGCAGAGGTGAATTTTTTTCTATGCAGTGCATAACCCCACGCTCCAAGAATAAAAGGTTACTTGTGCCTCTATCATATTCTACAGACCTAGTAAATGGCACTGACTTTTTAACTGTATGAAACAAAAAGAATGTTGTGTACAAAAACTTAACAACTAGGTTCTGTATTCTGTTGCCCTTGCTAGAGCAAGTGATTTTAGTTTGCTTCTGGCATAAGTTTCTTAGATTGCTTCAAAATCCCTACCAATATGCTCTAATACCTATCCAAGCACCAATTATATAAAGTAAAATATCTTATTCATATATTAAATCTGACTTGATATAAAGACTTTAATGTAACTGATGAAGAGTATTGTATAAAATAATTATTTACTATGATGGTCATGGAAAAGGAACTAAGTTTATTCATTTGTTTGCTAAGTAAATCTTTCAATAGACATCTCTCTTATATAAATACTGTATAATATCAAATACAGAAAATAAAAAGATCAATTAAGATGTGATCTTACAAAAATGTAAGAATACTCTAAAAATCTATTGTGAGCAAATTCAAAAGAAAAACTAAAGAAACAAACTAAGTCTTTTCAAATATATAGGATTGATAAAGGTTAATTATTATAATATGCAAGTGATTTAATAAATTAATAAGCAACCATTACAGAAATTTTTTAAATGACAATAATATAAGAAGGAAATTCACAGAAAACAAAGTATAAATAGTAAACTGTTGAAACCCTGATGTCCTGAAGCTCATTCATAATGAAAATATACTTTGTTACAGCTGTGGTTGCTTTCTATAGGATAAAGCATAGATGTTGAGAAATACATCTTTATTAGTTGAATAGTTATAAATTCCCTTAATGGAAAGGGGAATGGTAAAGACTGAGGTTAAGTTGAGTTCCAGAAGTAAAACCAATGTCACTAGAGGCCAGTTCTAAAAGGACACCCTCTATCTACCATGAGCTAGTGCTTATGTTCATCAGCTATGGGACTCAGGTCTCCCCTTTCTCATTCAGTTCCAGATTGATGGATGTCCTCTACCCCCTCTCCACTGTTCTCAGGAACTTCAACATCTATTGTGCCCACTACACAAACAGCCGATCTTACAGTGCATTTCTTTATTTGCTTGACCTTTCATTCACTCTCCACCTTCTTTCTAACATATTTTATCACAAATTGCTCATTGACCTATGGATAACTTTACTGTTGTTACACATTAACACTAAAATATAGAATCTAGACTAAACCAAATATCTATTAGGAAACTTACTAGCTATGTAATGTCAAACAAGTTAGGTAATTATTGACAGACAATTCTCCATGGGATTTCTGCACATCTTATATCATGTTTTGTTTTACAAGAATAACTTCAAGGATATTAGTAAAGCAAACAGCCTTGGGAGATAGAAAGAGTGTCTCCCTCTGGGAAGGAAGGCAGAGTTGTTTGCTAACCAAGAAGATAAACTCTCCAGTGTGCCAAATGTTAGACAGATTTACTAGCAGGTTCTTATAAGATTGGGAGTATCTGAAGCTTACGTTCTTCAGCAGTGACATAAACCCACCACATGTAGAATTCACCAGAGACACTCTGTACCACCCCAGTGGGACTCAAGAGGCAAAGGAACATAAAGCTCACACCACGTGCTGTATCCTACATGATGGCATAATTTGTCTTTGACCTAGGAGTATTATCTGCTGCAAGAATCGATGAACAAGAGCAAGCTAACTTGTTAGGTTACATGAAGAGTAAAACCTCAGATTTTCACAATTCTTGATAATACCCTCCATGTGCCTCAATCTGCCTAAAATGCAGAGAGGGCGCCTTCCCTGCAGATTAAGAATGCTAGTCAAAGGGAATAATGAGATAATATACACATGGCGGGCCTCACAGCTAGACTATTCAGTAGTAAGTGATGACTCCTGATTGTCTCCTTGGAAACCCAAATGTCCTGCTCCCAAGCTCATCCTCACTGGTGGCTCTGCAGCACTGACACCATAAATCATTCTCTTTTTGAAACTTCCTAATTTCTAGACTGTGACGCTGCACTGAACTTGCTTTCTTCCTATACTTTTGGCCTTTTTGAGTTTCTTCCTGAAGTGGCACATGAAAAGGAATTAACAAAAAGAGAATTTCTTGCAAGTATCCTTAGACAGCCTTAACATGATTGACAATGATTAGCAACAGAGAAAATTAGTTTTTCTAAAATGGGGGAAGGTAAAAGCAGTAATCAGAATAGAGGGGTAGAATCATGAGAACTTTATCAAAAGGAGATAAAAGAAGAAGCTTATAAAATGTTGAGTCACTAGATTTTATACATGGTCATTACTTACCATTCTCAATGTCTAACTTTAATAAAATTATTTGTAAATAATTACTAGAATGGGAACAAGTTAAATAGTGGCTATGAATTATATGGGTAAGTATCCACAGTGTGGAATGAAGGAAAGGAGAAAAACTTTTACCATTAACAGAATTCAGGGAACTCCAGCTCTAGCTTTTAATGGCTGAAAAACTTTGGTGAGTTACTTAATCTCACCAAATGTCATTCCACTCACCTCCCAAATGGGGTGAGACTATCCCTTCTGAAGAGTTCTGGATGGGTTGGCTCAATAAACTGTAGCTATGACAAGCAGAACTATTATAGGATTGAAGAATTACTTCCCCAGAAATTAATAAAAAAAGGCTAAAGGACCTTCCTCAAAGGATATTTCCTAAAAGGATATAAAATTTTGTAGTGTGGTACTTACTATACTTGCCAAAGACAGCATTAGAGAACTTAAATTCTAACTCTATAAAATCTCCAGATGGCAGAAAATACCTTTCTGTCAGATTTATGTAATTCAGTGTCTGTCTCAGAAAATCACTTACTTGAATCAATACACTTACCTGTAACAAAAAATCAAAGAGGGCCATCTTGGACCACTCATGATGATGGATTTCAGTGCAACCCCATTCGGGCTTGGGTACTCGACCATTCTGCCAGCACTTATGTTTCAGCAACTGCTGATAAGCTCCCCAGGTGAGCTTAACAGAAGAGTGTGTCTCTCTACTTGTTGCAGATAAAGATGTGTCCCAGAGAATGACTGGACATGGGCGGCCATCTACAGAATAAAAAAAAAAAAAAAAAACCTCAAGGTTAGCAACTAACCCTGGTCACACACTGAGTTACAACCTTTCTCTCTGCTGTAGTCAATAGTTGATGTCCCCTTTGCCTTCTGACGATTAGTATTTTTATATCTCCATGGTGATGTTACCTGATAGAATTCATGAAACAGATAGTTACCATTACAAAATAAAAGCAAAAAATTAAATAAATAAATTAAGCAAAACACTTTATAGATGTGGCAGGATTAGGCCACGAACCATCAATAACAACGTGGTTCATGTGGTTTTATTCCACATCTAAAAGCAGCCACCACAAAAAAGGAAAGATTCAGACACTTATAATTGTCTATTCAATGTCTGAGTAGAGCTGCTCTCTATTTGAAATAACAACTGTCTGATTTTCTGAGACCACATTATGATGTCAGAAAGAAAAAGAATTTTTAGAAATCGCAAATTTAAAAGCGCAATTGCCTGGCTCACACCAGTCACTATAATCTCCAAAGGGAGGTAAGCAAGAGTACTTTTCCTCTTTTATTAGAAACAAAAGCACTCTCAGCAATGGATAATTTACTCACACATAGCTTCACAAAGTGTACTTAAACAGTGTCATGTCTTCAACTGTATCGTGCATAAAAGATTTTGCAAAAAAAAAATCTGTCCTTGAATTTTGTCTCACTTCTGCAGGTTAGGATTTCATTGAGAAAATGTATAAAGAATGATGTGTCTGAGTGAGGTCACCATAAACCAGGTAGACCATGATCAGGGACATTAAATGACATTTCAAACAGAAAACCAATAATATCGCTCTCAAACCCCAATTTCTGCTATATCAAGTTACTGAGATATGATACTGAAAGATCTGCTTACAACTCAAAAATCAGAATGACGGTCTTTAAAAAAAATAAGCCACAAAGATCTGAAAAAGTCCACTTAACTCATTCTTAACAGGTCTGGACAACAGAAGCCTCTGAAATTATGACTGGAATGCCCAGGCATGTCACAGGAATTTTTTGAAGCCCTTTCAAAAACCTCAGAGGTTCTCAAGCTATAGCTGAATTCTCTTTTGCTAAGACTTTTGTCTTAGCATTTGCATGTCTGCCTTCGTGCGAAATGTGTATCTCTAGCCTTTAGTGCAGAGAATCGTCATCTTCTCTAACCACTCTTGAGTTTGGTGTTACAGTGACCTCCATCATTTTAATAGCAATCACTTAATCATTGTAACCACCTGCATTCCAGTTATATTCAAAAGAAAAATCTTTCTTCTTTTAGGCTTGCAATTTAGGTCAGTGCATGCACAAATCCTTTAGATTTGTGAAAATTATAGCATAGTCATTGACATACAATTGAGAGAAAAATAGAGAAACATGAATCATCACTGAAGAACTTTGTTTTTAACATTACTGTATCTCCTTTTATTTTCCTTTACTTTACCGAACGATTTGGTGTTTCTGGGAACTAACTATCACCTGGGATCTAAAATAAATAGAATGTTCAATGTGTGTCCTCCAAACAGTATGCTAACTTAAATAATAATAATAACAATAATAATGAATTCCAGGTAAAGGCAGTCATTGCAAGGAGGAGACAAGGTTAGGTCAGTGGAGTCAAGTACAGGGAGAAGACACAACACAGCCTTCAAAGAAAGACACGTACATTAGACTTCTAAAGATAAACAGCAGCAAGCCCTATCTGTCAGTGTCTTTGGTCCAAAGCTCTAACAGATAGCCCTTTGCATTCTCATGACTAGGACATATTCAAAGAGAGTTGAAACCTGACACTAAATTTCAACAACACAAATTAACACAGGAGACAAGAGGGCACAGCTTCCTTAACAATTCACCCAAGGACTTCTGAGAAATGATCTATCTAAACAATTGAAAAGCTTACAATCTTCTGAGTTGTATTCCTTTTCACAAACATTTGTTTCTTGTTGAAAGTAATGTAAAGTAAATCTACACATTTGAGAAAGAGTGATGAAAAAATTAAAATATATTCTAAGAAAGCAACAATCATCTATACCCTCAGATTCCTCAATTGGTTCTGTTTCATGAATATTTACCAACAACATTTCGAATCCCTTTTTCATTTGAAAACATAGATGTTTTTAGGGATTTAAGGAGCAGAAGTTATGGTTAATGCTTAGAATCAAATACAACAGGCCTCTTGAATTCCACTCACAATACTTCTCTGCATTGGAACATTGGATAAGTTATCCCAGTTCTCTTAATTTTGCTCTCAACTACTGTAAAAAGGTACTGTAAAATGTACCTTTCAAAACAGACCTTGTTTGAATTCAATAGCATAGTGCACTTAAAGTTCTAACCTGTTTCATAACATACATGCATATGTCAGAAAAGTGTTGCTCTGTTATATATATATATACACATACACAATCATAATTCCTGTCTTCAGCAGGCCTTTACTTATTGAGCATTTCCTATGTGTCAAGCATGTTCTAGAACCTGGAGCTAAGTTAACAAATGCCATTTCTGTTTTGTTTTGTTTTCAAGGAGTTTACATTCTTACCAAGGCCAAGAGGCAAAGATTAAACAAGGAAGATAAACTACTTGGGATTATCTTGCATATACAGTTTGTCAGACTTATTTCATTATTACATCATAATAATTTCTCTAACAGTTTAATATTTTTAAATAACATCGCTTTACCAACGATAAAATCATCTACTCAGTGGTCACCAAATTTTGTTACAGGCAGATAATAAATGTCTTAGGCTTTGAAGCCATCTGGTCTCCATCACAACTCCCCCAGCGATGCAAGTGCTCAACTATGTAAGAACCTGAGCAAAAAGACAATATATAAACAAATGGCCATGACTGTGACCCAATAAAACTTTATTATAAACATTAACATGTACTTTTTACACCATTTTCAAGTGTCGTGGTAATATAATTAGTTGGGGTTTTTTGTTGTTTGTTTGTTTGTTTTTTAAGATTTATTTATTTGTACATACAGAACTGGGGGACAGGCCGGAGGCTCAGGGGTGGCGAGAGGCTTCACCAGAGACAGAGTGGGGAACAGAACAGGCAGATCGACGAAGTACACTGCTGAGGGGAGCAGCAGACTGGTCAGGAGAGGTCTGCCACGCCATGTGGTCACCTTCGGGGTAGGCGGGAATCGAACTCATGCGGAAGCGGCTTTAGCTTCTCAATGCTGTGCTTTAACCCGCTGTGCCACCAGCGGGTTAAATTATAATTTAATTATTATTTTTTAAATTTTTTCCAGCCTTTAAAAATTCAGAGCACCCATCAGAAGCTCCAAGGCTCTAGTGTTTCAACCTCTGGTCTGGTCTATGTGTACTGCACTTCATTTACCAGCTCTCTGCTCTATACCATCAAATGTTTCGGTGACACATTTTTGATACTACTGTTTTAACAGGTATTCGCAAACTGCCAAAGCTTTTAACTCATAGGGCTACTTGATTTTAAAATGCCATGCTCTAAATGTCCCTGTGCACATCCATTCATGACCCCAAAGCAAAGTATTTTGAATGCTGACTGTCAAATAAAAACTTCCACCCTGAGGCCTCCCTGGTGTCCCAAGTGGTTAAGCACAGCACTATGAGGCTATCCACAGTCTCTGCAGTGCCAGTTCAATTCCGTGGCTGGCCAGAGAGCTTCTCACATGGCACAGCAGACCTCGCCAGTCTTGCCAGCTACTCCCATCAGCACTGAGAACAGTCTGCCTGTTCTGCTCCCCACTCTGTCTCTGGTGAATCCTCTCATTCCCTGCACCTCAGGCCTGTACCCCAGTTGTTGTACTCATAAATAAATAAATATTAAAAAAAAAAAAAAACTTCCATCCTGCACTGCAGAAATCAATGTACTTAGGTAAGGAGGAAGGATTTCCAGAAATGAAGAGGAAAGCGGAGTAAGCAGCCACACAGCAGCACTGGGCCGTAGGGGGCGTGGTTGTTTTCATACTACAGGTCTATAGCCTTGAGATCATAATTGTCAGATGACTCCAAATAGCAGAGTCATGAAGATATTGTTGAAAAGAGTATTTTTTCTAAAATGTGGCTTTTAAAACAATTAAATGAACTCTGATAGATTTGAGGGGACCACCGGAAAACTGCCTCTGAAAACAGGAAACACACAAGCAACTTAACCCCAAAGAATTTCAGATAAATATCTCTGCACAAGTTTGTCAGAATGATGCAGTAGTGTACTCTCTAGAGAAATCTTAACAGTGAAGAGATAAAATTCTGTTAGAGTAGTGAGAAAGCAGGTTTTAAAAGATACGTGGCTGTTCATGAGAATTAAAGGTTATATAGCTATCTTTAAAAATGAGATGTTCCAGGAAAACTTGTTTTTTTTCCAAAAACCAAATACTTCCTCTGAATTGTGATGTTTTCCTAAGTTTTTCTTTATTCAAAAGTGCAAAGAAGACATTCTTTGGAGAAGGTGAATGTGAAAAGTCACTAAAAATGAATGCTAAACACAATCTGCTTTGCAGAGACTTATTAAATGTCCTTCACTTTGAACACTGGCTGACTAGTTTCGTTGGTAGTTGTGTCTGTCAGCATTTGACACTAAACAAAACACCATGAATTCTGAAATCAAAAGCCCTACATGGGCCAAGTCCAAGGTAAGACAAACAAGACAAAAAGAAAATAATAGTTTAGCTCAGAGCCTTTCCCTTAAAACTCTACAAAACCCATCAAAGAAAAGCTATGGCCAGCCAAAGCTTGAGGTGTTTCTTTTCTCGCCAGAAACAAATTCTTCTGGGTTCCATCAAAACTGTTGATAATGTATTGAATGCCAAAATTAGGGCTACAGACCTCCGATGGCTAAGTCGACTGTTAATTACTGATGTGGTTCCAATGTTAGTTTAGCAAGTATCTAATTGTTAATGAACACATAACTACTCTCTGCTCACTTTTTCTACAGTGCCTACAGTATTAAGACTGAAATGAAAAGACAGATAAGATCACCTCACAGAGATGACGAACATAAAGAAGTTAGTAAATGTGAGGGGA